TTTGAAGACTACCGTTGCTGGTGGTCGTTGGCTTATTCGCTGAGCTAGGCAATATGATTGCATCAATCAAAAAATTTGATTGCATGCAATCAAATTGCCCAGCTCAGCGAATAAGCCAACGACCACCATCTACGATACCTGAGCTACCAACATTTTCCTCTATAGATTACCGTTGCTTTAATTTCCGTATAATGCAATTCAGCGTGCTACTATTATTAATAATATTATTTATATGCCGTATGGCATATATCACACACCAGTCACGTGACTTAATTATTTATGGTGGAAATACTATTAATATAACACTTTTTCCGCCTGTGAAACTGATTGGAGTCGGCAGAGAGCGACCATCGCTTGGCAAGTAAAACCTACTTGATGTTACAGCGATCAGGAATTTTCTTACCATTAGCGTCGAATCAGAACAGAGACCTTGTAAGCGGTGTATTCCAAGAAAATTAGTATAATCGGGTAAAAACAAATCCCACACACATAGACACTATTCATATCTGGCTGAAAATAGTCAAGCAAACTTCAGGCGTCCTGAACTACCTGAATGAGAAGTTCTAACTAGTAGGCCAGTCGTTCCATACAACCAGAACAATTAATGTGTGGTCCCCGAAGAAGTTTGGTACGCCAATCACACGCATCAGATTGAGTACGTCCACCTGTCACTAAGATACCATTAAAGTGCGTCCAGTGGGTGCTATTCGGGTGGGGATGTTAAGCTTGTGTGGCATGCTATAGGTGTGAAACTGGAATTTTAGCAAGATCAATAGAACGCATCGCTGACGAGCTTTCTTATGAGCCCCACTTGGGTAGTGTGTATCAACCGAATGAAATAATTGGGCCGAGAAAGAAGGGGGAATGTAGGAGCTCGTAACTTGTGTACGTCTTATACAGTAAATAAGTCCACATTTTCCTCATATACATGATCAACACTACAAAGTGCGGTAAAAGTTTGGAATAAGTTATTTTTGCACTACTATGTTGAGTAGATTGCTTTTCGTACGTAGTCTATCGTTGCGCCGTACTGTTGCATTCTGAAATTGTTTTGGTACATTTTGAATGCCTTTCTTTTTGTTGTTGTAACAATCTCGTGTGGAACTTGCTTGTTACAAGATGAATAAAAAGACATTAGTTGTCATTAGAAATAGAAGGATTTAATTGGCTGAACTGTACAAAAATGTCTTCACTGCATAAAAACACTTCCAGGCGGAAAGTGGGCAAAGTACACCAAAAACAAATAGAACAAGTGAAGTAAATACAAGGTAATTACAAAATCTACCTCTCCAGTAGAAGTCTTCTAATCGGAGCCTCATTTCTTCGCGTTTGTTGAGGTGTGGAAATGGTACAGTGACTGGAGGTCGTGGAACCCCAAGGAACTGACACAGCGGTTCCCAACCCTGCTGAGGATCGAACAGAAGTAACCGGTCAGGCGGAATCTCACTGATTACTTGTTGATTCCATTCACAGTAGGCGTCTCTCAACTGGTCATCGGACATGGTAGCAAAGGTCGGTCCCAAGGCTGCCTCAAACATTCGGTGGTGTAAAGTGGACAGGTCAGGGATTCCGCGGAAATGAGCGTATATAAGATCTCCCACACTTGGCTGGCGCAACATATTTTCACACATGGTTGTAGCCCGACAACTTTTAACCCAGTCATCTGGATTCCTCAGGGTCAGTATACACTGAAAAGTAAACGTGATAGGAGAATCAAATAAAATTGAACAAATCAGGAGTTTTCTATGACATCGTGTCAGTTAGATATAACAAGGACTAATAAATAAAAAGCAAAACTTTAATTTTTAAAGTTCGACCACTACGGGTGTAACGGTGATACTACTGATGGGGAAGGCATGGGAGTAGTATTTTTTCTCCTTGAAAAATTCGCTTTGCGTCTCTTGAAAAGGGGGTTCTCATGCGGAATTAGTGAAGTTGCTCTGTAGCACTTGCTTGGATTTGAGCAACAGTCGATTAGTATCCATGAAAGTTCAGGAAGACTCGTTCAAGAGAAGATGGATGTTCAGTTTTTGTAAATAAGATGCAAATGAGAGTTTTGCTTCACTATCCAATAGTCTAAAACTGGTCGTTGGCATTTTCCGATGAATACCTCTGCAGCGAAGATCTTCCTCTTTTTACCGGTAGTGCCTGAGTTTCACCAACTTTATTTCCCAGTCGAGAAGCCATTCTATGAGATCTCTCAGTGTACTCAGATGATTGTTTTGCTCGACTATTAGGCCTTGAAAATTTAATCCGGTAATTCCCATCCCGCAAAATTATTTTCCTTGTATGTGGATACCAAATTGCTGCTAACAACTATTTTTTCAGAATCTTTTACAATTTGTGGGAGATAATCACGCCACTTTTCAGCGTGATTCGCTCGGGGCCTAACGGTCGGAAGGTTGCAGGTTCGAAGCTCTCCGCGTGTTTCGTGAGATGAGCACTGTTGATGATTCCAAATAGGGATAGAACAGCTGTACGGCGTTTCAACATAGACTGGCCCCCCGATAGGACAAGAGGTCAAATGGGATCTTCCAATTTGCCTGTTTAATTATTCAGGGGATTTTGACAGTGTAATGACGACTTCAACCAGGCCAAAGAAAAGATTGTATAGCGAAATACACCTGTTTGCAAACAAGCTTGGTTTTGTGAGAGCCCCACCTGGAACCCAGCTGAATCTCTCGTTTGTGATGTTTTCAGGGTTTCGTTGAAAGAGATTCAGCTGGGTCTCTCGCGAAGACCAAATTTTTTGCAAATGTGTGTTTCGCTAATTTCGTGTAATTTGGTTTCAAGTTGAACATAAAGTTGACGGAAACTTGGGAAACTTGGGACTGCACCCCCCTGGTGCACCACAAGAAGGGCAAAACCGGTCGAAGAATATTCAGCTTGATGTGGACTCGTGGGTCCAAAAGCCACTACTCGTTCTTCTTCGAAAGTTAAAGGTTGCCAATGTCAAGGCCTGTTGTTCTTCAAACCATTACTCGATGACCAAGTGAAAAGTCTACAGTCTGTCGGGAGGAAGAGATACTTACGCCTTCGTAACTACCTGAAAGTGAGTCTGGAAGGTCTCTTAGATGCCGATACAACTTTCCACAAGAAATGTACGACTACAGTATTCTGTCGTTTAGAGGCAGCAATATTTCATAAAATTTCACACCACAGTCTTAATTTTACATATGGCTTTCTATCCATAATATTGTGTCACAGATAAGCGTCAGCCCAGAAACAAATCTTGTTTTGGCTCAACTTCCGGACTGATTCGATCATCCAGTGGCTCAGAACTTGCTGCATTCTACGGTCAGAAGGGATAACTTTTATCTCTTCCTGTTCCGAATCCAAGATGATCAAGGTACAAAGAGGCACTCAAACGAACCGTGCAGTTCATAGCTAGTCGTAAAATTTTCCTGGCCATCGTTTCTTCCTGGGTTTGGTGCAAAGACCAATCAGCAGTACAGAGGTGAAGACCGCAGGCATTGGCTAAACTGCTTTGCGCTGATTGAATTCATGCACACAAATGGTAGCAATGATTTTTGTTGTTTGAAAATTGTGGCGAATTACCTTTAAACTACTCATGAGTAACGATAAATTATACACCCGCATTCATCAGAAACGCAAAATTAAGCAAGAAACACGCATTTCTGGAAACTGCTGTGCTCACCTTGGCCTCAGGATAAACCTTCATAAGATATTTGTAGAATACACACGACGGGTAGTCCACGGCTCCGACGTATTGGTCGTAGATTGGTTGCCAAAACTCTTTCATGAGCAGTTTGTCGTGGTCCGGCGTTTTTTTCTTGGACTCCCTCAGCTGCTCTAAAGCGTCCAGCCATTTGGAAATGTGTCGTTGTTTGTGTAAAAATGCCACGTCCATCATATGATAACAAGGTTTGTTGTAGAGTATCTCTAAAGCACGCTTCAAACTGGACGTCCCCGTACGCATCTGTCCAACGCCTAATACGATCAGGCGTGACTGTGTGGACCGGACATTCTCGTTGCGGAAAAAGCAAGCGACCAAAAAAATTAGCCACTCGTGAATCACTTTCCTGCATGACCAATACCGTTCTAGGATGTAGTTTGTGACTGAAAAAAGAATGTATGATTGAGCACTAGGATTTGGTGTCCACAGTCAAATCTTGAAATGATGGACATCTGGTCGCTCCAAGAAAACAAAAAGTATGCTCCAGGTCCTCGGATGATCATACACTACTACAAACTTAGTCTAATTAAAAATGCCTTTAACAGTGCTGTGGTGGTAAAATTCGATCGGCGAGGTGAACTTCATCTTATGTATGGAAATTAAACGTTTGTTCGAATTTTATATGACTCGCTTCCGATCAGAAAACTGCCGTTTTCGTTTGCCTATCCATATTGAGTCAATTTCACTGAGAAGCAGCTTTTCGCACACTTCGTAGGATACGGCTGGTCATTTACTTCAAAAGCTCCCCCAGCGGAGTTGAGAGCTTTATCTCCAAAATGTGAGTAGCTTATTCTTGCTGCTGATTTCAACCGAGAAAGGAATCTTAGGAAGGGAATTCTTGGTTTCCCTGCAAAGCTATAAATGGGAAATCGTCGTTCAGCCATAGCACCCTTTCGGTGCCTTACTGTCATGCCACCCGAAGGAAGAACGAGGGCTGGGATACTGCCAGGTTGCCCAAGTCTAGACAGGGGAAGTCGAAATGCAGAGGTCGGGTTTGAACCACCAGGGAAGTTGCGCTCCAACCACTAAGACAGCTCACCCCCAAAAACTGGAAATAGCCAACGGAGTTCTGAAGTTCACTGAGCCTCAGACAAAGCATGTTTCACCTAACGCCCAATGAACATTTCGTCTGCAGCGTTAGGTAGCTCATCAATGTGTGGGACTAACGTGTCTGGTCAGTCTTTGTGATTCATCTGCCGCTCAGTCGTTTTCGAAATATGGCGGAAAGTTCATAGCCATTGTTCATAGCCTCTTACTCACTTACTCACTCAGACACACATACACCTTCACACACTACTCTGAAATGACTGTGGGTGGTGGTGGATATGAAGGTTGCTTCCAGGTTAGTCAAGCTTCACATGTCATTTTCAAAAGGAAATGTGTGTGTTTGTAGAGCAAAATAAATTCTGGTATGCAGAGCTTTCCATATGAGGCCATATATATAACTTTATATATATATATAT